CATTAATTGTTAAATAAGACCTTTCAGGCCCCCCTAGATTGTGGCCTCGCGCTACTCTGTATTAGAGTTAGGATTATGATACTATATTTCTCAATCTTGAACCCTTATCTCAAATAATTGCATGGATGACAACAAAAGTCATATGCAAATGATGGCAAGCAAAGCTTTACCAATTGGAGTTGTTTGAAATCCTCATATATGTAAAACCTTAACTTTGATGATGAGAAAAAAGTCAGTTACCTAGTTCTCATCACTCGAATTACAACCCACCAAACTTTCTGATGTATTAACCATCTTCCTAACCATGATCATGACAAATGACACTCATAATCATTCCTCAAAATCAACAAATAAGTAGGTATAATGGTAGGTAACTACTACAATGTAGATCTGGTTGCTTTCATGCAAAATCAAAGATTATATGTAATGAATCCTTGATTTTGTATGAGAATGGGGTTCCAGATAAAGAAGGCGGAGTGAGAAATAGAGATGTAAAGTTCGTTTAGGATGATTGGTGTAAAACTCTATAAATTTCATTAGGGTTAGATTTTTCTTTTTACGAAGTCACACTTACATCAGCAACTCAGTTGGCCACAAAACAAAAGTGCGTAATTATCAGGGAATTAAAATAAAGATTAAGAAATAAATTCAAAGTGTCTAAAAATAATTGTTGATTTATATAAGGAATGTATTGTGGAGGCCATTTATTTATTAAATAATTAATAGAAGATTTTAGAAACAAACAAAAAGATTTGCACAATGTTCTCACGGACTTAGAGAAGACATATGATACTCACTAATGGATATAATTTGGTGGGTTTATAAAGAGAATGAATCCTCTTATTACTTGTAAAGATTATTAAAGAAGAAATACAAGATAGAAGGAATGCAAGACAAATATGTAAAGGTTTGAATGCCATTAATACTATGTAAAGATTTGAATGACATTAATACTATGTAAAGGCTTGAATGAGGCTTTTAAACACTCATTCACGCTCTGATATTTATATATTAAAAAGAGCACATGTTAATATTACAAGAAAGGAAATTGAATAAAATCATTGCATATTCTATGCCTAGACATAAGCGTAAATACAATCAAATCCCATAATTCTAGCCTATCATATCTCGGCTAATATGGTAAGTTACATCTATGATTCTAGCCTATCATATCTCGACTAAAATTCCCCCTCAAGTTGGTGCTTGGATATTTGAGATGCCCAATTTAGACAATGCATCCTCAAACACGGTCTTTATAAATATTTAGCCAACGACTTATGTTTGGCCGCATTAAATTGACTAGCCAAGACATAACCATGACATTTTCTCTAAACCACCGTGGATACGTCTTATCTGACTTAGCTAGTGTCTCCTCAGACCATGAACTGTTTACAATGTCTTCTCAGACCATAAGCAACCAACCATGTCTCCTCAAACCATGAATAACCATTATTGTCTCCTTAGACCATAAACGACCATTCTTGTCTCCTTAGTCCATGTCCCCTTAATACACATGTTTAAAAATGTAGGTGAAAGAATCACCAATGTCTCCTCAGACCACAAACCATCAACAATGTCTCCAAAGACCATTCCTGAATGGATGGTGCTGAACTTGCAACACCGTCGTTGCTTTCGGACCAAGAAGAAATATAATATATAAGGAATACATGTAAAGGCTTGAATGAGATTAATAATATGTAAATGTGATGTTGTGGCCCTAATTTGGTATCGGGTCGTGTTGTGACCCGATGACCCGTTGAAGCTCTAGGGTTTGTGGGCTTGCCCCTGAGGAAACTTTTTGACCTGTTTTTGATATATAAGGGCACTTTGGGTTTGGAGTGGGATGATTGAGACATTGAAAATTGCAGGGAAAGAGGGTGAGAGCGAGAGCTAAGGTTTGGGGCTGAAACTTGTAATCTCCTGTTTTTCGAATAATGCAAACTTTTGCTGGATCTTCACCGTGGATGTAGGCTTTGCCAAACGACGCTAAATCTTTGTGTTCTTTGTGTGTGGTATGTTTATTTTTCTGTCGTGTTTCTTGATTTATATTGGGTTCGCTACATTTGTCGCTACAGGAAAGCCTTCAATGAGGCTTTTGAATACTCATTCACGGCTCTAGTATTTATATACTAAAATATTACAAGAAAGGAAACTGAATAAAATCATTGTATATTCTATGCTTAGACATATGTTTAAATAGAGTCAAATCCCATAATTCTAGCTTATCATATTTAGGATAATATGGTAAGTTACAGCAATGATTCTAGCCTATCATATCTCGGCTGACAATTAAGGATATGTATAACGAGAAAAATATTTAAATTTGTATCATCTTTGGAGAAACTAATGATTTTTCTAATACAATGCTACTACATTAAGGATCAATCCTTAGCCCATAGCTATTTACAATAGTCTTAAATGGATAACAAAAGATGTACAAGAAGACACTTCCTGGTGCATGTTGTTTGCTGATGACATAGTGTTGTTTGATACTACTAAGGAAGTTTTAGGAACAAAATTAGAATTATGGAGAAATGCATTAGAAACAAAAAGATGAAAAATTAGTAAGAAAAGAAAAAATACATGGAATGTAAATTTAATAGTGTCTCAAAAGGTGGTAAAATAATGATAACAATTCAAGACCAAAGAAATAATCAAAATAATCATTTTTGATCTTATGATAAATAATAGGGAAAAAAGAGAGGAGGATAGGTGATGATATTACTAGCAGGACTAGAATATGATGAACAATATTAAAATAGATTAGTGACATCATATGTGATAAAAAAATAAACACCTAATGGATAGTCGCGGCAGGGTGCTGGGCGCTAAGGGAACAAAAGGAAAGTAAAAGAAGAGCAGTGCATTTAAGTTAGCTGAAATGAGACTATTGAGATGGATGATAGTGGTGACTTAAAGAGATAGGTTTACTAATCAACCTTGGAGAGGATGTATAATGTATAGTTGAGCTAGAGATGCATGGAGGGTCACTCCCCTTTGTTTTTGGCGGGGCTTGTGGCACGAGAGAAATAGGAGATCCTTTGATGGATAGGAGACACCTATTTGATCTCTCAAATACGCTATTTTGATTTCTTTATTCTTTTGGGTTAATGGGCGAAATTGAATATCTGTGGGTGAACTTGTGAACTTTGTTGATAGTATGAGATTATAGTTGGCCACTTTTGGGTATTTTGTGTATTCTTGGGAGCAATCCCCTCTTGAGCTCCTTTTAATGAAATGTTACTCGTGTATATATATATATATATATATATATATATATAAGGTTTACTAATTAAAGTGCGAGAGAGGTTAGGAATATTACCTATTAATCACCAACCAAGAAAAAGCAGACTTAGGTGGTATGAACACATACAATGTAGGTCGGCCGTTGCACAAGTGAGAAAAGGAAGATTAGGTTGCATAGAAGGTTAGAGACAGCAAGGCCGACCAAACTAATTAGAAATGAAGTAATTAAAATGACTTTAAAAATTTGAATGCAAGAGGGGGCATGAAATGTAATAGAATAAAATGGAAAAACATCATGTGGTTGACCCCATTCGTATGGGATAAAGGCAAGGATGCTGATGAAAACTAATGAGGGTACTTTTGTCATTTCACACGAGCTGTTTGGATGCGTTAAGGCTTTTTAATTTTGACTGGGGGTGTTGAGAGTGTTTTGTCCGATTGTGTGCAAGCGCCAGGTGAGGTTAGGCCAATTTACCCTTTTCTTTACTTGGAAAGTAGAGGAGATAAGTACTAGAAGTCTAGAACTAAGCTCTTGATCCCATGAGCTATTTTAATTCATACATTACTAAAGATACAAATTCAAGATAGAGAACTTCTAAATAAAATCATATTAACTAGAAAGAGAAAATTACTGGTTATAAATGGTTCCGAGGATTAAGGATGAATCCACTTTCTCCAAGTGCGGTAAAGTTCTATTGGATTGTGATTTGTCACTCCCAAAGCAATGGGAACTTCAGACTTTTCCTTATTTGTTTATTTTCTTATTTTCACGGAATGAATAAAACACACCCTCACCTTGAAATTTGAACATACAACTCTATGACTTTCTTTCTTCAGAACATTTTTATACCATTTATTTTTCTAGTTAACTCCCACTGTTCCCGAATTTTCATTGACATTGTGTGAAACATTTGATTGTTTATGTGACGCAGGACAAGTAGTAACTTATAGTAACTAGAAAGAAAGAAAGGGATGAGGATGAGAAGATAAGATGAGGCTAGACGAAGGAGGTGAGAAGACAGAAGAATAGCGATGAGAATCAGATTGAAGGAGGTAGGATAGATAGACGGAGGGATTAAGAACAACAAGAACAAGAAGGGAGGAGGACACAGAGCGTTCACAAACTCAACGATAATATTCAATTTCTCAAAAACTGAGTTCTCAAATTACAAAGGAGCCTTTAAATAGGCAAATTATTAAGCAAACCCTAAAACATAAAAATATCAAAATGACCCTAAAATTCAAACATGATCAAATATAACAATAAGCATAAATAAACCCCCTAAATTACTAAAAATCCCAATTTTATTTCTCTTTCCCTCTTCTCCAAAAGTAATGTTGGAACACATGCAGCTCGTGTGCGAATCACACCCCGTTCCCCATCATTATGTGCCTACACTTTAATTGTTTAATTTGTCCATTAAGGAGGTAGTTCTTGTTGCTAATAAATTCTAAAATCTTGATCTAAGCTGCTTTGTAGTTTTGTGCTGTGAAATCTGGGCCCTATAAGAAAAGGTACCTGATTTTTTGGAAATAATTTTTGAAGTTGTATTGGTTTATTGGTATGGAATATGGATTGGGTTTTTGAAAATATTAATACGGTTGTCACAGGATTGGGTACTCAAGAAATTATGTTTTTACTCAATTTAGTATTTTAGTCTTTCAGTTTCTTTCTTCCCTTTCTTTTGATTGTCATTTATATTTTCTGGTTAGAAATATGGGATCAAATTTCTAATGCTAGACTGCATTGACAGCGCAAGAGATGGGTAGGATGTTTGAGTGGATTGTCTTGTTTCGGCAAGCAAAAAGGTGGGAAACGTATTGTGCCTTCATCTCGTATTCCAGAGGCCAATGGATTGGCAAATCAGCCAAATGGACCTCAACCTGGTGGGTTGACTAATCAGACTACAACACTAGCACCATCTCTTTTAGCTCCACCATCTTCACCCGCATCCTTCTCAAATTCTGCACTTCCTTCAACAGCTCAGTCACCCAGCTGTTTCTTGTCAATGTCTGCCAACTCGCCTGAAGGTCCGTCCACTATGTATGCGACAGGACCATATGCCCATGAAACACAACTTGTATCTCCCCCTGTTTTTTCGACTTTCACGACTGAGCCATCTACTGCTCCACTCACCCCCCCACCAGAGATGGCACACCTCACTACTCCCTCTTCTCCGGATGTTCCTTTTGCTCAGTTTCTTTCATCTTCCATGGGTCTCAAAAGTACTGAGAAGAACAATTACCTCACTGCAAATGATCTTCAAGCAACATATTCCCTATATCCTGGAAGTCCTGCCAGTAGTCTCATATCACCTGTTTCAAGGACCTCTGGTGACTGTCTGTCATCATCGTTTCCTGAGCGGGAGTTTCCCCCCCAGTGGGATCCTTCAATTTCTTCTCAAGATGCTAAATATCCGAGGTCGGAGTCTGGCAGGTTCTTTGGGCTTGATACAGCTGGTGCCTCCAAGTTGTCTCAAGATTCAAATTTCTTCTGCCCTGCTACATTTGCACAATTCTATCTGGATCAAACTCTTCCTCATTCTGGAGGGAGGCTAAGTGTCTCAAGGGAATCAGATGTTTATTCTAATGGTGGAAATGGGCATCAGAACAGGCAGAATAAAACTTCCAAACAAGACGTGGAGGAAATAGAAGCTTACAGAGCATCCTTTGGGTTCAGTGCAGATGAAATTATCACTACAACTCAATATGTGGAGATCTCTGACGTATTGGAGGACTCTTTCACCATGAGGCCTTTTACTTCTAATAAGCCTCCTATGGAGGACAGTGCGGTGCTTGCATCATCAAGTGAAAGACAAAAAGCAGATAGAACACATGGAAACTTGCTAAGTCCAAAAAACAACAAACCAGAATTAGATCATGTTGATGATGGGGTCCGCTGTGAAGTGCCTGGTTCATGCAATGGTTTTGAAGGTGAACTACTGATACTTAATATAAATACAATCCCTGTTTTAGTGTTGCCAAAAAAAAAAAAGAAAAAGGAATCTCAAAATTGGTGCATAAAAGCTAAACATGTTATAACACTTAAAATGCCTCTCCTACTATAGCGTATCAGCAATCAAATGGCAGTGCGTTAATATCCTTTCTTTTATTCTGGAAATATGGTTTCCTGTCTTTTTTTATTTTTTGGCTCTTAATCTGCTACACTGATGCAAATGCAGAGGAGATGGTGCGTTGAACTAATATTGACTATTGTTCTGTTGTACAACCATTTCTTATCTTGATTGAAATTTAGTACTTGAAGCAATTGAAAGGCCTAGTGTTCCTAGGCTCCATTATTTGTGTAGAATTGAGTCTTCATTCAGTAAAACCTTTTTTCCCTGCTGGTTTTTAGTATATTCTTCTTCTCGTGCTGCATTCTGTTTACTGACGTCTATTATGTTCCTTTAATGTATGGGCTCAGATCATATGTCTTGGAGGCAACCTGGGGATCTTTCTGGGCGAAGAACACCAGGTAACCATACTCGGAGTGATGAAGAGGATATATTCTCCAAGATGGGGTCTTCCAAAAGTGGCAGAAAATATAATCTGGGTTTATCAAGCTCTGATGCAGAAATCGACTATAGGAGAGGGAGAAGCTTGAGAGAAAGAAAAGGAGAATTTGGTTGGCATGAGTAGTCTTTGGAGCAGAAGAAACGAAGTTGTGTTCTGTATGTATTACTTTGCAGTTTTTGTATTTCACGTGCATCTGTTGGGGGTTCCGGTAATAGGTGATCTAACCTATGATCTAACATGCTCTCCTTTACCTCTCTCGTTTGGAACTTGGCTTTTTCTGGTTGATGGGTTGTATCGTCTCTATATTAATTCTACTCCTAGCTTTCCATGTTATATATGTAATGAGTCGGTAGGTATATATCTGGAAGATATGGTTTTACTCGAAAGTGAAATGGAGCATGAAACTTAATTGCAACTCATCAGTTTATCTATTGATTTGAGAGTGTGTTACCCTGCAAGGACAGTCCAAATTGTAGTAATTATATATATATATATATACCTATATATATCTGGAATAGGGCTTGTGCACATTTTTATAATTAGTTTTTTTATCTTTGGAATGAAAAATAGTGTGTTGAAGTCAGGGAGGGTGGTGCTTGTGTTGTGCCACAAAAAGCCATCCATCCAAGGTTCTGGCAGTTTTTCTGCCTGACCTCGCCTCATTCAGGAGAATATATATGATGTGCCTGGTACACTATGCACCGGGTACATTACAGCTAACCATGTGTCCATGTACACGCGTGGGTGCGTGTACAACACGGACTGCAATATTGGGCACACTTAATACTTGCTCCTCTCATTAAGGTGATGTTCAATATGGCCACCATAGGTGAGTGAAAGTATTAATGTTACGTTCTTCTGCATGAAATTAGTGCATTAGAATTGGAATGGGTGAAATCTAACCATGTGTCCATGTACACGCGTGGGTGCGTGTACAACACGGACTGCAATATTGGGCACACTTAATACTTGCTCCTCTCATTCAGGTGATGTTCAATATGGCCGGTGAGTGAAAGTATTAATGTTACGTTCTTCTGCATGAAATTAGTGCATTAGAATTGGAATTGGTGAAAATTTGGTATAATAGTAGGAAAGATATAGTTTTTATGCTGCTGCTGTAATTAGGGTATTTAGGGGACCTAGTCGTCATCCTCTCGGATGATGGGCTATGGCGCTCTGCCAGGTCTTACTTACACTTTGCTAATCTACCTTATTCTATTTGTCAATTGCATATTCTCTAATTGAGAAGCTCAAGGCTTTGTTTAGCTTAGCTCTCACACTAGCTCTCACAAAGTGTGAGGAGGTGAAGCTACTAAAAGAAGAAAAAGAACGAGGAAAGAGAAACAAAAATGACAAAATGATATTTTGCTACTAATTAATTACTCTTTGTGTTCCCAAAATATTTGTTCATCTTTTTATTTTAGGATATCCCATACTAGATGTCTCGTTCTAAAAATGGATGTAGTATTTTTTTTCAAAATTATCATTTTAATTAAACATATGCATTAATTACGGATTACTATTTTGTCTTTAATAAGAGTATATTGAAAAATTCACTCTTATCAATACAATAAAAAATTATTAAAATTTCACTACCATAAAATGTTGGATTTCCCAAAAGTCAAGTATTGAATTCTCCAAACATGTTAAGTATTTTGGGATAGAGAGAGTACAAATTTACAATAACAACTTTGTATTTTAGGTTTATCTACGTTATATTTGACACCTATATTAATATGAGTTTCCTCATTTTAAAAAAAAAAAAAAAAAAAAAAAAAAAAAAAAAAAAAAAAGGGCTAATGGACAATTAATTAGAACACTTGGACCAATAACAATTGCATGATAATTATGTCTAAAAAAAACACAAATAAATAACTAATGGACAATCACTTGGACCAATAACAATTGCATGACAATTGCATAATATTTTATTTGAAGAAGATAATAAAATTTTCAATGATATAATATGAACATGCCAAATTGTATGAAGATTTTAGCTACTAATTTCAAACGCTAAGCATTAGTCAAATGGGGTGAATGAAATGCCATTAAATCGTTTATGACATCACAAGAGGTTCTAAGGCCTTAGTCATGGTTTCCTAAAAATTCCCCATCTCGATCAAGTGATTACTTGATACTGTTCCACTTCAACAAGCATATCTCTTAATAGGTTTGGAATCTGAAAATGGAATTGATACTATTGGAAATGTGACGACCCTGGTTTTTAGGCCAGCGCGTCTTGTGATGAACCGAAAGTTGACCTGATAACGGACCTAAAATGCGGAAGCAAAAGAAGCCAAATGACCTCAAGATATGTACGTCATCCCTAAGGTCCCAAAATGACTCTCCATGAAGCCACGAAACTCAAATGAGCCAAGCAAATGAAGCAAGAATGCTTAACCCGAAAAGAGATGAACTAAGGGCAAAATGGTCATTTCTCACTGAAAAGGGTGCCATCGTGCACACCATTGGAAGGACAATGAAAAATGAACAAAATTAGACTCAAGCATCGTCTGATTTTGAGTCCGGGCAGAAAAGATATGAAATTCCAACACCCGATGCGAAAGTTATGAAGCAATGACTTAACATTTTTCAATATTTTCATAATAAACTTAGAAAACAAAAGTGCATTGAAAACGAGATACATGTCATTGGCCTCCGGCATCATCTCATACATGTTAAATACATTGAAATGAGTGCACTTACGTACACTTTACAGATACGAATCAACGAATACAAGTTTAAACAAATAGGGCTACACAGAGGCATCTTATGCTAACACTTGCATAAAATAGGAACTTAGAAACTGTAAGCCATCCAAGGAGCAATGGAATCTTCAAATCCATAGTCTTGTACCTGAAATATGCCCCAGTATCGTAGGGGTGAGTAACATAAAGCTACTCGTATGAGATGAGCATGCATCGACCTAGCATTTTACAATTTTATCACCTTATGGTGAAACATGTTAAAGGGGCTCATGCCACCTAACGTCTATGTCAAGATAAGACCCAGGGAGCATCCTAAGCTACCTAGATCATTTATATCATAATCACATTGTTCATGTAATTCAAACAACATGGAAACATGTTATACAAGGCAACAAGATATAGATTCTCAAAGTCTTCAACTTGAAATCCAAATACGAAAACAACAAGTGTGTGTCATGCCACCTAATGTCTATGTCAAGATGAGACCCAGGGAGCATCCTAAGCTACCTAGATCATTTATATTATAATCACATTGTTCATGCAATTCAAACAATATGGAAACATGTTATACAAGGCAACAAGATATAGATTCTCAAAGTCTTCAACTTGAAATCCAAATACGAAAACAACAAGTGTGGGTCATGCCACCTAACGTCTATGTCAAGATGAATCTATAAGGTCATTACTAAACTACATTTGAACATCAAAACACAAATTATGATATCGATGCAATTTAACCAACAATGGAACTTCCAATACAACGCATGAAGCATGCTTTCACAAAGCTACATCTTAAGCTCAAAATAGGAAATCAAATAAGGAACAACAAGTTACGATATCATTTAGTTATCAACTTGAAATGAAATACGAAATCAAACAAAGTGGATACTCGGACGTCACGCCGGATCAGACCGACAACATAGTTACTTTAGGGTTACTAGCCCATGGGTAACCTCCCTATGTGCGCACTAGACTATATAGAGGGACAATCCCCCGTATTAGAATCAAGTCTTAGCCGTAGCCAAACAACGACATCCCCAAGTTTCCAAAATCAACAAATTGTGCAACAACGTATATATCTCAACATGTATATACAAGATATTAACTATTTACCAAGCACAATCTAAATTTGGAAACACTTACAATACATGCTCTAAATCTACATCTACTATGGCATGACAAATGTCGAATCTTCAGTGTGCGACTCGTTACACGCTATAACAATATATTTCAACGTTGAAAACATAAACTCATGAATCTAACATAACAACAGTCTAGTTCAATGCTTAAACTATAACAGTGTGAATACACAACAAGTCCAAATCCATAATTTAAACTTAGGAACAACTTCCAAAATATAATTAAATCCATAGAACAATTATATAGAATTTAATTAAATAAAAATAATTAAATTCTCTAGATTTCAATTTAATTCCAAATGGCTTCAAATTAATACACGTCAAAGATCACATTGTGGTCATTACATATGTCATATTAATACTTTAATTTAAGCCATGATTAGTAAAATAAAATTTAATTAAATATAAATAATTAAATCCCTAGATTTCAACATTCATCAAAATGTCCCAAATTTAATATATAACAAAGATTAATTCATGATAATCACTAATATCAAGTCAAAAGCTTAATTACATCTATGGAGTAATTAAATAGAATTTAATTACGTAAAATTTAAGTAATTCTCTAGATTTCAAAACAATTCTAAAAGTTCCCAAATTAATATATAACATAGATTAAGACAAGGCCTAATCAAATATCAAGTCCTTAATTAATTCTTCATCATATACAACCATGTGAATTTATTTTTATCTAATGAACAATTAAATAAAATTCTAAATTCCATACAAAAACATGGTATACACATCAAAAATGATAAATCACATAGCACATAAGCCTATAAACATCTCCTACCTCCAAATGCATTCCCGGCCGGAAAGTCAACGCCGGTCAACACCGGTTAATAGAGGCGGAATGGAAAACTGTTCGGTGGGAATGTGGCCGACGCCGAGGAGATCATTCTGCCCTAAAGGACCCACTCTTGAATCTGGCTACAAATGGTTCAAAACCCCCATTGAATTTCCCAGATTCAAACTTTCAAAAATTCGTAAAATATTCTACATACCTCCAAAAATTAAGGCCTTTGAGTATGATGTAGAGAGCGATGAGGGGAACATTTTCCATCAAGTAATCAAGTCCGGAAGACCAGCCGATCGGCCGGAAAATGGAAGGGAAGCTTGAAGGCAAAAAAAAAAAAGAAATAAAATAAATTGATTTTGGGAGAGGAAGAGAACCCACGGCTGAAGAGGAAGCATTCCGGAAAATTAGAAAATTTTCTAATTTTTGTCCTATTTATAATTCCCAATTTTTCAATAATCGCGAACTTACCCCAAAACTTTACAAAATTGCAAAAAGGCCCCAAAACGCCTTGAATAGTGAAAATTTTAGAAACATGCTCAAACGAAAAAATACTGTGAACAAAAAAGATTCAAAATGAGAAAATATGAATAACGGAAGAAACGGCGTCAAAAACTGAATCCCGAGCAAAGAGATATGCCCCGAACAAGTTCGGCGGCAACTGGGTCCAGAAACTCTGAAACTGGAGAAAAACGACCAGAACAGAATTCTATGAATTTACAAGTCAACAAAAAGTGCAAATGAATTCTGTACGAGGATCCAGGCTCCAGACGTGACATTTTGCAATAACTTTCGTTAATTGCACAATGACCCCT